TCTTCCTATTGTTCATTTCTAATTTTACAGCATTGTGATCTGAGAAGATGCTTTGCAGTATTTCAGTGTTTTTAAATGTATTAAGTCTTGCTTGGTGGCCTAACATATGGTCTATCATGGAGAATGTTCCATGTGCACTGGAAAAGAACGTATATTGTGCTGTTGTTGGGTGAAGTGCTCTGTAGATGTCTATAAGGTCAAGTTGGTGGATTGTATTGTTTAGTTTTTCTTTGTTGAGTTTCTTTGTGGTTGTTCTGTGATTGAAAGTGGTGTATTAAAGTTCCCGATATGACTGTGGAGTCATCTATTTGTCTTTTCTGTTAGAATCTAGTTTATGTATTTTGGGGGTCTTTTATTGGGTGCATAGATATTTATTATTGTTAGGTCCTCTTGTTCAATCAATCCTTAAATCATTATATAATGTCCTTCCTTGTCTCTTATGGAGGTTTTTATCTTAATGTCAGTTTTATCAGAAATTAATATTGCCACTCCTGCTTTTGTAATGGTTGCCATTTGCTGTTTCTTTTTCCAACTTTTGATTTTTAGTCTATATTTGTCTTTGTCTCTAAGCTGTGTCTTTTGTAGATAGCATATGGATGAGTCATGTTTTCTTTTCTAGGCTGCAACTCTCTGTCTCTTGAAGGGTGCATTTAATCCATTGACTTATTGGTGTAATTATCACCAAGTATGAATTTGTTGCTGTCACTTTTTATGTGTGTTTTGTGTGTGTGTGTGTGCGGTGGTGGTGATTTCTTTGTTCCATATAATTTTCTGTGTTGAGCTCATTTTGTTTATGAATCGTGATATCATTTCCTTCATTGCTATTGTTTTACTATTTGCTAAATATTTGTGCTTGTCCTCTTTTTTATTTTAATTTGAAGGTTTGTCATTTTTCTTTGTGGCTACCCTGTGATTTATAGTTTTCTTCTCAAGTTTAGAACAGTCCGTTCTGTCCTGTAGTTGTCTTGACTTCCCTACCATTTAGAAGTTATGTAACTACAGTTTTTCCCCTTTTTTGTTTGTAGTTGTCCTCATTTGCCAATTGATGTCTCTGGTTCCCTGTTTACAATCTTGTAGGCTTATTTACTTTGGATACGTCTGTAACTGGGTTGGTTTCTGGGTTATGTCATCCATGTGTGTTAACGATCCATTGTTGTTTGCTATTGTTGGTTCTCTATCTAAAGGACTCCCTTTAACATCTCTTGTAAGGTTGGTCTGGTTTCAACAAATTCCCTTAATTTCTGCTTATGTGATAATGTCCTAATTTCACCATCATATTTGAGGGACAATTTTGTGTGGTATATGGTTCTTGGTTGGAAAATTTTCCCTTTCAGGGTTTAATATATACCATCTCATTGCCTTCTCACTTACATGGTTTCTGCTGAGAAATCAGAGCTTAATCTTACTGGGTTGCCCTTTGTAAGTAAGTTTTTTTTCCTGCTGCTTTCAGGATTCTTTCTTTGTCTTTGGTTTTGGTGAGTTTGATGATGATTTGTGTTGGTGATTTTCTTTTGGAGTCTTTCCTCTTTGGTTGGGGTTCATTGAACTTACTGAATGGGTATATTCTCATCTTTCATCATACCAGGGAAATTCTCTTCCAACAAATCTTCAACAGTTTTCTCCATGGTTTTATTTGTCTCTTGCTGTTCTGGGGTTCAATTACATATAGGTTATTCATTTTGATGGTATCATATATGAACCTTAGGGTTTCTTCATTTTGTTTTGATCTTTTTTCTCACTGATCCCTTTCCAAATAAGTATTGAGGTATTTGTCTTCAGTGTCACCAATTCTGTCTTCCATTGATTCAGTCCTACTCCTTTGCCCATTCAGTGTGTTACCTATTTCTAACAAGTTAGTATTAATCTTCTAGATTTCTATCTGTAGATTTTGTGTCGTTTTTTGTTTCTTCTATTACCAGTCATTTTCAAGGAGGGTGTTACTCAGTTTCCATGTGTTTGCTCTTTTTCTGTTGATCTTCCTATTGTTGATTTTTAATTTTACAGTGTTGTGATCTGAGAAGATGCTTTGCAGTATTTCAGTGTTTTTAAATGTATTAAGTAAAAATGTATTAAATAAAAAATGTATTTATTTGTCATTTTGTTCTTGTATTGTCGCATAGTGGCTAAAGCACTTGACTGCTAACCAGAAGGCTGGCAGTTCAAACCCACCAGCCACTCCTCGGAAGGAAGGTTGGGCAATCCTACTTCCGTAGTGATACTGCCTCGGAAACCCAAGGAGGGGTCGCTATGAGTCGGGGCCGACTCGACGGCACATAACGACAACAACAACAATTGTCTTTCAAAACTGTTCTAGGGATTTTTCTCTGTTTTTGTCAATTTTGTCAGTGTTTTCCTTGATCTGTCTCTCAATCCATTTAAAGTACCTAAATATTATTCTTTTTAAGTCCTTCTCAGGGAGTTCCAATGCTGCTGCTGCTTTCAGGATGTGTTCTGAGTCTGGGTGCTGATCTGTTGTTTCTATAGCTATATCTTGCTTCTTTATGTGGACTGTGATGCTCTGTTGTCTCCCAGACATGGACTTTTTGTGTTCTTTTTAAATTGATGATTGTATGTTGGAGTGATTTGCCCAAGATTTTCATTTTCTTTGTTTTGTTTGGATGTTACCTAAGTAAGCAAGGTACTATGCTCTTCTTTTAGCTAACTGGCAACACTTAAACACTCACCACCTGTCTCCTTTCCCATTGTCAGCCTCCTATATGTCCCTGCCATCCTTAGCAAGTGGGACCCATTCTGAGATCCTGTTTTCTTTCTGGTTCTTCCACTGGTTGGTGCCTTATCCACTTCTGTATACTTCCTTTCAAACCCCAGGGCTCCAGGATTATCCTCTATATTTCTGTTAATTTCTTTCTTTTTTGTTTGTTGAAGAGGGTATATGTAGTTTGTCTGCCTATTCTACCATCTTACTGGAAGTCTACCAATACTTTTAATTCTTTATTTTGAAATAATTTTAAACTCCAGAAATGTTACAAAAGTAGTACAAGTTCAGGAATGCCCTTCACCCAGCATCCCTTAATGTTATCATCTTATATAACCATATACAGTAATCAAAACCAGGAAATTAGCATTGGTACAATCCTATTACCTTGGCAGAAATCCTTATTTGAATATTTGCATTTTATGCTATAGTTTTCCCACTCATGTGCTTTTTCTCTCATAGGATCCAATCCAGCGTCTTCCATTGCATTTAGTCATCATGTCTCCCTAGTTTTTTCCAATCTGTGATAGTTCCTTGGATTTTTTGTTTGTTTGTTTGTCTTATTTAAAATTATTATTTTAAATTTGGGTGAAAGTTTACAAAACAAATTGATTTTCCATACAACAGTTCATATGCAGTTTGTTTCATGACATTGGCTACAGTCCCCACAATATAACAGCTCTCTTCCCACTTCCTCCCTGTAGTTACCTCTTCTCTGTGTCTTTCTTTCCTGTGTATCCCTGCACCCTGAGCTGTCTCCCTGTGCAAATACTGTCCTTCTGATCTCCCATGATTGATTGTTGTAAGGAGTGTACCTACCTGGTATAAATGTTCACCCTATATGCCTGTCTGTTGTTAGGCTGGAAGCCACAGGAGTGAATTCAGTTTCAGTCCTGAAGGGTGACTAGGGGCCATAGTGTTGGGGGTTTCACCAGGCTATATCAAACTAAGAAGCCTGGTCTTTTTTATGATTTTGACTTTTATTTCACATTGTTCTCCCACTCTATCAAGTGTCTCCCGTACTGACCCCTTTCCAAATGGTTGACAGAGGTAGCCAAGCACCCTCTGGTTCTGCTTCAGCTGATTCTTGCAAGTGACTCTAACAGTTTTCTGTTGTCTCCCCCACACACATCTCCTCTCTTGTCAGCTCCTCCCTCCTTCTTTTTTCCTTTGTCCTCCTATTCTTTCCCCTTTCCCTCACCTCCTTTTTATCTCTGACCTCCTCTGCCTCTGTCTTCTTCTTTTTCTCTCCCCTTCTCTTTCTCCTGCCTTTTCTCCCCCTTCTCTCATCTTCTCTCTCACTTTTCCTTTTCACTTCCTTTTTCCTCCATCCCTTCAACTCCCCACACACTCCTTTTCTCCCTTACATTCTCTCTCCCTGTTTCTCTTTCCTTCTTCTTTCTCCCCTTTTATCTCCTCCATCCCACCCACTCATTCCATCTTACTCCCCTCCCTGTTTCTCTTTTACATTTCAACACTTTGACTGCTAAGGAGGGGATAGTTCTAGCCCTCAAGCAGCAAAATGTTAAGTCTTTAGTCTTTATTGTATATGATTGTGGTTTTTGGTTGACATTGAGTCAATTTTGACTCATGACAGCCCCATGTGTGTGCACACTAGAGCTTCTCCATAGGGTTTTCAAGGCTATGACATTCCGGAAGCAGATTGCTAGGCCTATTTTCCAAGGGTTTGACCCACCAATCTCTCAGCTGGTAGTTGAGCATTTGACCATCTGCACCATCCAGGGATTTCTTTGGTAAAGTAGAGAGTCAACGAAAAAAAAGGAAGACCCTCAATAAGATGAATAGACACAGTGGCTGCAACAGTGGGTTCAGGCATAGCAATGATTGTGACGATGGCACAGGCCAGGCAGTGTTTTGTTCTGTTGCACTTAGTGTCACTGTAAATCAACCTGAGGACAACTGGAACCATCTTGAGGACACATAACAGGAATAACAGGAATTCCATTGCTTATGATGGAAAATATTTGTCATTTCAGTAGCCAGACTCTCCTTATAGTATTCTAATTTTTCCCATTTCTTAAGCGATTTACAACATCATTTGATGTCCCTTGGACTGCAAAAGTTAGTAGGACTCTACAGGCAGTTATAGTTTAACTTTTTTTAAAACATTGGGTACACTGTTCCTACAAATTTGATTAATATTAGCTTCTTATATACTTAAAGTGAAGTACTGTTTCTAAATAATACTACAGATTCATTTATTAATACTAGAAAAGCTCTTTATCATTCCCATCTCATTTACTCATTTATTTTCTCTCTTCAGATTCCATTCTCCTTGGTCCAGTTTCCTTTGTGGGAATCCTTAAAAGTAAGTTTTTAATTCTTCATTAAAACTTCTTTTGTTGTTGTTGTTGTTATTTGCCGTCGAGTCGCCCCCGACTCATAGCGACCCCTCCTTGGGTTTCCGAGGCAGTATCACTACAGAAGTAGGATTGCCCAATCTTCCTTCCGAGGAGTGGCTGGTGGGTTTGAACCGCCAGCCTTCTGGTTAGCAGTCAAGTGCCTTAGGCACTATGCTACCAGAGCTCCTAAAACTTCTTTTAGTTACCACAAATACCTACAGTTTCAGTATGAAATAATAGTACAATATAATACTGATTGGCAGTTTTAAAACTCAAAATTTTTAACACTTGAAAATGTTTTTTGCATGCAAATTACATGACAATTCAGCCTTTTATTAAACTTGTTCAGGTTTCTGTGGTACTGGGGAATAAGCATAGTACGTGTAACTTAAATCCACCATTATTAAAAAAGCTTTGCTTTCTCCTGTATTGCCACTCTTTCCCCATCCTGTTGAATTTTCTTTCACTTTGCTCCTGTTTTCTGTGGAGAGGTTAAGGAATGACATTGAGGGTAAAGGGAAAAGGCTAGATAGAAAGCAAAGCTGTGTTTGTAGGCAGAGAAAGCCCAGGCCTTCACACACCCACATCTTAGGGAAGCAGGAGTGGGAGCATCAGGGCACAGTGCTTGGTAGGTTCCTGCCATCTCTGTTGCAAACAACCACCAGTCCTCAGAGCACCCATTGAGTAAGAGCTGAGTGTGGTCAGCCTTGAGGAAAGTCACTCATCTGTCTAAAAGAAAATATATTTTTTAAATCCTTTGTTCAAGCCACACAGAGACATTGGAGTGGTTTTCATTTTTTGGTGCAGTGATTTGAAAAACTATGGGTCATAATATGAATTATGTGAGCCTTTGTTCTGGTGGTGTAGTGCCTAAGGCATTTGACTGTTAACCAGAAGGCTGGCAGTTCAAATCCACCAGCCACTCATTAGAAGGAAGACTGGGCAATCTACTTCCATAGAGATACTGCCTCGGAAACCCAAGGAAAGGTTGCTATGAGTCGGATCCAACTCGACAACAGTGAGTTTCGTTTTTTTTGTTGTTGTTGTTAGCATCAAGGAGCCCTGATGGCATGGTGGTTAAAGCACTCAGTGGTTGTTCTGGTTACCTAGTGCCACTCTGACAAGAAATACACCACAAGTGGGATGGCCTTAACAAACAGGAGTTTATTCTCTCATAGTTCGGAGGCTTTAAGTCCAAGTTCAAAGTGCCAGGCTCGGGGGGGTGGGGCGCGGTGAAAGCCCCTCAACCTTGGGCTTCAGCTCTGCCTCTTGGTCCCAGCCCACTGAAGGTAGAGGCATCTCTTCACTCAGGCAGCTACTGGCTGCTGAGGCTAAGAAGGCCCAAGGTTGACAAATAAAATGGCACAGTCCCGATGTTACCAAACCACACAGCAGGCCATTAATTCAAGTCTGTTGTAAGTCCTGGGGTTGGCAGAGCATGGCACGCTGCTGAACAACGACACAGCTACATGTAGGGTCCAAGCATGCCATAAGCTAGAGACTGTTCCCCAAGCCTTCTCCTTATATACAGGAAGCAGACTACATCACTAAGGCAGCTACTCAGCTGCTCAGAGTAGATTCCACCTTGGAGTTGATTACCAGCTTCCCAGGTACTTATCCAGGCCTAGCCCAGTTGACACACAAACTTAACTACCACAGTGGCTAACTTGAAAGATCAGCAATTCAAACCCACAGTCTGCTGTATGAAAGACGATGTGGCAATCTGCTTCTGTAAAGATTACAGCTTTAGAAACCCAATGTTGTTGTTATGTGCCATCGAGTCAGGCCCGACTCATAGCAACCCCTCCTTGGGTTTCTGAGGCAGTATCTCTACAGAAGCTGATTGCCCCATCTTCCTTCTGAGGGCAGTTCTATTCTGTTCTATAGCCACGGTGAGTTGGAATTGACTAGAAAGCAATGGATTTTTTTTTTTTTTTTTTTTTAAATCAGCATCTTAATGACTGGGATAAAAAAGAAAATATTAGAGAGTCTCTCTTGTGGTAAGGAAAAGTATTATATTTTTAAACTTCAGTGTTACGTATATAGTGGTATGCGCACACACATAACATGTAGCATAGTACCTAAGGCAATGACTGCTAACCAGAAGGCTGGCGGTTTAAACCCACTAGCCACTCCTTGGAAGGAAGGTTGGGCAATCTGCTTCCGTACTAATACCACCTTGGAAACCCAAGGAGGGGTCGCTATGAGTCAGGGCCAACTCGATGGCACTGAGTTTGATTTTGTGATGTCTCTGTTGGGTTGCTGTGTGAACTGTGGATAATGGTCAAGAAATGTTTTAAAGCCATTTTTCAAGTGAATAAAATTGATAAATGATCAAACTGTAAAATGGCAAAGTATCTAGGTAGGCACTTGATAATACAAGAATAAAGAAATTACTCCCTGGAATCTATGGAGTTAGATTGAGATTATGAGCACAGAGTGCTCATACAAAATACCTTCTGAAGAATATCATAATTATTTGGACTCTTAAAACCGATTTTCTTGAACTTATATTCTAAAGGATAATAAAAGGAAAAAATATTACTCTTTTAAAAAATAAAAAAACTCCAGAATATTAACTATTGAGAAATACAAGACTTATAAGTGATAGTTTCCCTAATTTTTAGGAGTGGTACTGCTCATTTAATATTATTTATTTTATTTTTGCCTGTTGTTGTTTTGCTTGTCTTGTTTTTATTCCTTTCTGCATACTGCGTGTTGAGCATGGATTTCTCAGGCAGTGTTTTGAGGCATGATGTAACAGCTAGCCAGTGAGAAGACCACATTCATTAGCATAAAAACTCCTTTTTTTGTGTGACAAAAGAACAATGAAGCCAACAGCTGTCCAGCAAACAAGACTCACTTTATTAGCGTCTCAATGACCAGCATTCACACAAATTTTGCTCACTCCCTAAAAGCCTTTCCTGTACTCAGCATAGGAATGTTGGGAGGCCCAAAGGGGGAAAGACCATGAGGATTATTTCTCTTCAATTTTAAAGACATTTGTACAATTCTAGCTAGTTAAAACACATCTAGAATTTTTCAGAATACTCATAGATAACAGTGCTATGCCTTAATATTTTTCTTTGAGTAAAGGTTTAAGATGATACTTTTTTTAAGTCAAGTTTATTGAGGAATAATATACATACATCCTTCATAAAATTCACCCTTTATAAGTACACATTTCTGTGAGTTAAAATGTTTATAACCACTACCATATCAAAATGTGAATATTTCCCCCCAGCTCTAGTCCCTGGAAACCAGTGATCTGATTTCTGTCTCTCCAGATTTTCCTTTTCCTGCATATCATATAAACAGAATCATATACTATATAGCATTTTGTGCCTGGATTTTTTTCACTTAATATGAATGATGCTTTTGTGATTTATGTTGTTGCCTGTACCTGTAGTGTGTTATTTTTTGTCACCGAGTAGTATTCCATTGTTGTAATGTACCACAATTCATTTATGCATGCACTAGTTGATAGATAATTTGGGTTGAAACAGTTTTTAGTGATTATGAATAAAGCTATTATAAATACTTGAATTTACATATTGGTATGGACATATATTTTTATTTCTCTTGGGTAAGTACCTAGGAGTGGGATCATGGAGTAAGATAATAAGTGTACATAATTTTATAAGAAACTTCTATAGTGTTTCCCAGTGGCTGCACCATTTTAATTCCCACCAGCATTGTGTGAGAGTTGCAGTAGCTCTTTATCCACATCATTATAAAACAGGTTATTGTTTTAGCCATTCTAATAGGTCTGTACTGGTATCTCATTGTAGGTTTAATTTGCATTTCCCTCACGTCTAGCAGTGTTGAACATCTTTTCTGATAATAACGTGTTTTTGGATTTTTTTTTTAATATTTTAAAGTTAAGTTTTTTAATATTGAAGTTTAAATAGCGAATTATTTTCCCATTCAACAGTTCATTCACTAATTGTTCTATGACATTGGTTACAGTTTATATAATGTGTCAGCACTCTCCCTATTTCCATTTGCAGTTATTCAATTTACTCTGCCTCTCCCTCCCTTCTCATCTTTGCTTTTGGGCAGATGTTACCCTTTTGTCTTATATAGTTGATAGACTAAGTAGCACATTCTCATAGGTGTTGATATTTATTATATCAGTCAGTCTGTTATTTTGCTGAAAGGTGACTCTGGAAGTGGGTCCAATTCTGAGTTAGGAGGGTGTCTTAAGGCAGTAGTCTTGGGGGATTCTTTAGTCTCCATCTGACCAGTAAGTCTGATCTTTTTTATGAATTTGATTTTTGTTCTACATTTTTCTCCCTGTCTAACCAGACTCTTCTATTGTGTTACTTCTTAGAGAAGTTAATAATGGTGGCTGTGCACTGTCTAGTTCTTTTGGTGTTGTGCTAGAGGAAGCTGTGAATCATGTGAGTTATAGGTCCTTTGGACTAATTATGTCCTTGAATCTTTGGTTTTCCTCACTCTATTTTGTTCCAGATGGAAAGAGACTAATTGTTACATCTTAAACCAAAAAAACAAAGTCATTGCTATCAAGTCAGTTCCGACTCATAGCAACCCCTCCCTAGGTTTCCAAGGCGGTATCTCTATAGAAGTAAATTGCCCAGTCTTCCTTCCGAGGAGTGGCTGGTGGGTTTGAACCACAGCCTTCTGGTTAGCAGTCAAATGCCTTAGCACTATACCACCAGAGCTCCCTGTTATATCTTAGGTGGCCTAATAATGTGTTTTTAACATCTTAATGTGGAAGTACAGTGCTTTGATGCTGTTGAGTTGGCTCTGACTCATAGTGACCCCATGTCCAACAGAATGAAAGAAACACTGCCTGGTCCTGTTCCGGCCTCATAATCCTTGCTATACCTGAGCCTATCATTGCAGCCACTGTGTCATTCCATCTCGTTGGTGGCCTTCCCCTTGTCTGTTGACCCTCCACTTTATCAAACATCATATCCTTCTCCAGGGAATTTTTCCTTCT